TAGTTTAAGACATGTTTATTTACTGTGTACATTGATGTGATCATATTAAAAGCATGGTCACTATGCTAACAACTGCTTTACACAAAATGACTTCAAATCATTTAACTTCCAAAGCCTGCAGTTTATAAAGAGAAATTCTGTGAAACAAGCTGCAAATGTAGTGACTTTTACGTGGTGTAAACGGTCTGCTTTAGAAGACTATACTTTCCGAAGCCTTTAGAAGATTGTAGAAGGAAAACCAACTACATTCTACCCAGGAAACCATTTCTCTCACGGCAGCATTGTTTTTCAGTTTTTTTACTACACACCGGAAGCCAACTCTGTTCCTGTTCATCTAGGTGTCGATGCCATAACTCAAAGGAACAGATCCAAAAATGAATTTTAGTGACGTGAAATTTGACTGCTTTATGAACATCACATATAGATTAACAACATCTATGATTCAGCAAAGGCGTTTAACAGATGGAAAGCAGAATTGTCCCATGAACTAAAGTATTTGTTCACTGGTTTCCAACTGGAGGTAAAACTGAGATTCTTTAATAGCAACCCTCTTTCATATACATCAAATACCTTATATCATATGCTGCAGTATCAAGTGAAAGGATATTCGGTGGGGGGGGAGTATTTCTCTTTAGGATAGTGTGGAGCAGTCAGAAAATTTTAAAATAGCAATAACCAGTTCACCATACCGTGAATCACATGCATCCAGAAGGGTTCAGATAAAATCAAGTGGTGCTGTTTATAGGATTGACATGATGGCAAGAATCCCCTTCTGTCTCTACTACTGAGAGCAATGCTACTGCAGCCAGCAGAAACAGGAATAGGCCTTATATTAAACGTGTCACGTACCTATTTTTTAATTATTACTTTTGTAAAAGTTCTTCTGTTTCAATACATGAAATTTTTCCCTCCTTGAGGTTTCAAGGAATACTATCTCAGAATTTTAGGATCAAAATATAGATTTGTTAAAATCAAATAACTTCTTAATGGGAAAAACAGTTTGAAAACATGCTTTTTGTCATTTTAATTCATCTATTTTAAGTGAAATGAGGGACTTCTTTATAGTCTGGATACAAGCATTTCCCTTCCGTTTGCTCTTTAAGCCCAAGAGCACGTTGCTCTTTGATCAAGTTTTCAGAGAAACTGAAAGTAACTAGAAACTGACTTTAAAAAATACCTTTCCTCCCCACTGTTTATTTTTTTATAAATTTCCTCAGCTTGGTCTAGCAGTATAGTGAAGTGTAAATCATCCTTATATTTTTTTTTACAATTTTGATTCATCTAAAGGATTTCTAACACACAGCTTTCACTCATTAGATGTAGAGATTCTGTCTCTTAACCAATCTGTAAAGTCAGAGAAAACTATGCCGAGTTATCCAGCTGAGAACCTGCCCCATTTTAAATACAGCTCCCATCTCCTTAGATTATTGTGCTTTAATTATGCCATGTGTAAAATGTTTTTACACATAAAGCAACCAATCTGAACTTACTGAAGCAATGACATCAGTCTTTGCAGTCAATGTTCTCAGCCCACTGCTGGTTTAAAGCATGCTCAGCTTTCATCTGCTAGTTTGAGTGGAATTTAAGTTTCTGTTCAATATACAGTCTTATATATAGTCCTATTTTAAATCTTACTTTCTGGATATATGCAACGTGCTGAGAGACAGATCCCTCCAGCAGCTGTAAGAGAGGTATGTTCTGCTGCTTGCCTCTTTCCAGCCTTTCTTGGACACACACGGTTGCTTCACAACTAACCTGCACACTGTCTGTGGAGAACTGCCATGAACATGCTGAATGCATTCAAGCACATAAGGCCCTGTGGTGCCTTGAGGTGATGCTGGAAGTTTGGCTTTCAAACCTAGAAAAAACACTTTGATGGCACCATGGTGTGCCTGCTTTAGGTGCCCAGTCCTCATGGTACAGAATACTGGGATGGGCATTAGAAAATATGTATGCTGGGGACTGTCTGCGAGGGAACAATTTATGCTAGACTTCTGATACTTTTCTAATCTTTTACAAGAAGAGGCACTATAAATAATCTTATACCTACCACGTAAGTTAGTGTAGCCCCTCTGCTGCAAAACACCTAATCAAAAGCAGAGCTGACACTGAACTGACCACAGAGTCTTATGTTCACTCACTCTCCAAACACAAAATATTTTCTTTTGACCTAAAGATTGCTTTTGAAATCTCCAAAGCAACTTGCTGAAAGGGTGCAACCCTTCTCTCGAAAATCTAACTAAATCTAGCACTATCTTAATTTAACTATGGTGAGGCCAATAAATTTCCATACAACTCATGGTGCCAATGGATTCGTGTTTACTGGGTAGAAAAGGACAGTTCATTTAAACACAAAACAAAAGAACACATAAAACATCCCTTCCTATGCAAAAGCTAAACAATGCTGCCAGAATTTAATTGCACTAAAGGACTTTGAAACCTAATTTTCTGACTTCACCTTGGGATTACCTGGAGATAAAAATACAATAAAAATACATCCATAAAGCTTGACATACTAAAATACTATTCATATCCGAAGATGAAGAAACTGTATTTTTTCCATTCTATATCCCATACAATCCTGTTGAGTTCAGAATGCTTAAAACACGTATAAAGGATTTTGCCCCACATACTGTGGAAGCTCCATGCAATAGAAATACAGTGCAGAAGTAGTTGCATGCTGCCTGTCTATCTGTTATTGTTGATACTTTTGACAAGAACATTTATTAGACCATGTTAGCAGTAGACAAGAGACTCCCTCTGATACCCATAATTGTCTTCAGGAGACTGACCGTATATTGTAGAAATGTCAAATAAAGCAGCTATAAAAACATCCACCACACGCAATCACTTGCTATTTTCTGAGAAATTATTACAGTAATGGCTTGAGAATGATCAAAGAGAGAAAAAAAGGGGTCACCATTTTAAAAACAGTAAGAATGAGATCACATCCTACATGAAAAGCACATGGAGGTGAATTGGGGTAGTCTGACCCCAGATTTCAGGAATAACCTCTCTTCTCTTCACCTCTCCACTACAGTCTAGCTTGACCTGCGACCACTGAAATCAGCAGGACTTGTTATCATTTATTTTACAAAGGGAAGGAATCAAATGTTAAACCTCTCTTTTTTATGGGCATTGCTAACTAATGCTGGGGGGGAGATTCCCAGCATCCCTAGTAGTTTTACATAGCACTTTCACAGAGGGCTGCGATCCTCCATCTTAAGTCAGTGAACACTACCTTACTCCACAAGCAGGCCTAGAGAAAGTAAAGTAGGACTGGTACAATTTTGCAACCAGGGGTACCACCCTCAGGGCAATGTACCACTCAGCTCAGAAAAAGGGTGGTAAAACCTCGTCTGCAATGTCTGGGTATGGTTATGTTTGCTGTTTCCTACACACCTTTCTTCAAAAAAGTCAGGGGATTCTGTCCTGGTTCTGGAAAGTATCCATTAGCACAGAACGAGAACCCTGTTCTTGCTATCCATTAAAAGCTAAGAAAATTTATCCACTATGAACTACACCCACAGTAACACCTGTACAAAGTAAAAGGAAGTAACAGATGTGTTTTCCTTTCTTGGATCACAGTGGCGCCTGTCTTTTTGCTCTTGAAATCTGGTATCTGTCTGAAGTCTGTCAACGATCTTTGCTAAGATGCATTTGCCTTTTTATTTGTCTGTGACATTTACAAGCAAGTTAGTCTTGCATCAGGCTGCTCTGTGTTCAGCTTTATTAGCCTGTAGAGACTCAGGACTCTGTTGCCCCTTTTCAAACCCTGTCAACAGCAAACCGTGACTACAGGTGACTGCCTATTTTCTAAGTATAACCACAAGAGAAAAAGAGCAGAGGTGAATGGATGGAGGGCAGCAGAAATGGAAGTCAGTGCATTTGGCACAATGATGAAACACTTGACAAGGTGAATTCTTTAAAAGCCAGGCAGCTCCCTAAAGCTCCTCAAGTCTTTTCCAGGTACTTTTCACTGGCAGTGCTGAAAAAGAAGTGTGATGTGTTGTGAACAGAATCCTAAAGCCAATTAAACGGTTAGTGGAAGATAAATTTCTCAGGAAAATGTGGAAACTTGGGATAGTGTCACCATGTCCTAGATGATCAACAAATAGATAACAACAAATCAGAATCTAAAGCACAAAATCATAAAGGGGGGGGGAGTTATTAAGCTGTTCTGAAGCTACTGGGAGAAAGGCTAGGTTGGTCCTTTGCCAATGTGAGAAGCTCTTTGTGCTAACAAAAGGAAAAGGGGTTCTCAGCTGCTCTGAAGTGTCTGGCTCGTTTGAAACCTACAAGAGGTAGACATCTGAATACTTACACTGGCCCATAGTTTTAACAAGCCTTGTATGGAAGAGCAAGAGAGAATAAAGATTACTAATTCACTTCATGAGGTAGCGACAATAGCGATGTAGGGTTATGAGGATTTCATAGACACAGGGTCCTGGGCTGCATTGGAGTGGGGGCATGGCATGAATTTGCCTCTCACTGCCTTCTGAGTAAACCCACCCATTTTTAACAACTATTTTTGTATAGCAAATACCCATTTCATAAGTCTGCCAACACCAATTTGGAAACACAACACCACACAGTTTTCTTTGGGAATTCTTAACTTTGACATTCGTGAGCCTCTTTTAAAACACACACAGATCAATCAATCAAAAAAAAAAGTCACTTAAACCATGACTTAGTGACTATAGCTAAAGAAAAAATTCCTCAGTGTAGAAATAATCCACATTTAAAAATCATGATTTACCTCAGTGTTAAGGTACCTTCCCAATATGTACCTTACGATGTTCCAGAAAAATTCTAAAACCTCAAAAGGATTTCAGATTAGCATGACAATAATGTGGTGGGATCCAACCCCAACTGCTCTGTATTTTTTAAGCCAATGGAATGTCATGCTTAACATTTAATTGTTCTTCAACTAAATAAATGCAATTAGGATTCTCCCTGTAATCTTTCTGAACAAGCTGAGAAATATACCTCATACCTACCCATGCATTTGTGCAATTATTGATGGGGTTGTTGATGGAAGATTAGAATTTGCCGGGTGAGTTGCTGACCAATGAACCTTGCCAGTGTGTCCAGGGATATTTGGAGTGCTAAAGGAAAAAGTTAAAGGGGGGATGGGGGTAGAGAAAGGTAAATTAAATGACTATAGGCTTGAAATATGACTTACAGATCAGTTCTAAAATAGCTAGTGTTTATTAAAGATGGATAGGGTAAAAATTCTTCATAATATAATGAGTAGTCCTTAGAATGTATGAACTGGCACAGCTTCTTTACGATCAGCAAAACAACTTTATGATGATCTAGCTGAAGATCCGACCCAAAATCTTTGGTTAGACATGGCAAAAGTGAGTTCTTTAATGACTTTTCCTTTTTCCCCCCCCTCCAGTTTCTTAGGTTGAATATCTGTATGATATTCACGATTACAAGCAACATTCAATCTCAAAGAAAAAATGGGGTCACAGGGTTCGCATAGAACACAAAAAGCAACGAAATAGTCTTTAAAAATGTGACACAGATTTAGCTCATATTTAGGTTCCAGCTTCAAATATGGAATTTAGGTAGCAGGCTTTCGGCCAACAGGTGTGATTTCTCATGGCTTAAACCATAAATGATTTCCCAAATGATTCTAAAGTTTTCTAAATTTCCCCTAGAATTTATTAAGAATGTATTTACATGTATATGTAATATTATTAACACTACTTAGACACATCAACTTAAATTCTAGCTCGAGTACACTAGTGGATTGAGACAGTATGTGCCACATCTTGGAAAATAAAAGCCTTTTGTTAATTCTGATGCTAAGTTTTAATGTGAAATTCAAAAAGAAAGTTCCTTAAAGAGATGGAGGAAATAATTCTACTTATCTGACATAGCACAACAGAAAATTTTGAGAGCAATTGCTGCAAGATGAAGCAGAGATGAACAAAATTAAAGAAAAAAAAAAAGGAGGTACTAATATGAATTCAGAGAGATAATCCATGAAGATTAAAAATAAAACAATCTAAACCCCCAATATGACAGCTTTTTTTCAGCACAAAGTTATTCAGAGTATTATCAGTACTGTTCTATATTGACAACTCAAAATAGGACACTGCTGAATTATACATATATCCAGACAGCCCATACACATGGAGGTAAGAGCTCATGACAAGCTGTTCCACCCACTGAATCAACTAAATATTTGGGATTGTAAACCTTGCCTCCATTAGTGTTTTGCAGGTCTTCAGACCACATAAATGATAACAGTGCCTCCTTTAAAATAATCTCTGAGGTATTTTTTGGTTCCCCTGTACTCTGGGTAAAAATAAACAGTTCCTTTAATTATAAAGTGCATAGAGCTATTAGTTTCAGTACAGCTGATCAGCTACTTCTCCGCAACTAAGTTCAGCACAGGATGCAAAACTGGACATATGTGCAAGATGTGGTTTATCAGAAAATTCTTTGACTTGTGTACTAGGAAACTTGGCTCTGATATTTGTCACCAGAATAGCAGAGGTAATGACAAAATGCTGTATCTACCTACCACAGTTATAACAAAGGACTGTGGGTGAACTATACGTGCCACAGGAGCATTGGTGGTATATGTTGTAGTCTTTGTACCCATATTTAGCAGAAAGACCATCTAGTCCTTTGTCTTATTTTGGAGTAGCCTTGCACTAACCCATACATTCATACACTGCTATACTCCCTGGGCCATGCTCCAGTACATGACCCCACAGAGAAGATGGCTTTATAGCATCAGTACAGCAGTTTTGCAGCACTTCAGAAGCTGTTACCTATAGGGAATGGCCAAGTAGTTGGCTGAGCAAGTAAAAAATCTGCTCTCTGTTTTGACAGTGGCCATGCAGGGGTAACAAGTAGGCCTGAAAATCTAGTACAGCAGTAGAACATATTTTCATAATTGGGCAAAATGGCTTGCAGACAAATTTGCTTTTTCATGTCAAACTAGACAATTGTTAGGTTATGTGCAGATTAGATAACTCTGTAGAAAATTTCACCTGCATGTGCAGAGATCCCACTGAGGGACACAACGGACTTTGGGTGTGTGTGAGTATAAGCACATGTATTCATGAAAACCTGAAAATGTGGTATCACTTTGAAAGAATCAGTCAGACTGCGAACAGAGTTTTATTACCCTGGTGACATGCTACATACCAAGATACATCTCTCACATGTAATAAAGAAATTCCGTTAACTTCCTTGAAATTGTGTGAGCGTCACAAAGAGAAGGATATCACAAGAAGCCCCATATTAACCTGCAACATTTTATAAGCCTATTTGGAGTTAACTTACATAATAACTATACAATTGTGGAGGTATTAGAATACATTATGCACTGTGAGGCATCCGACTGATAAAATCATCTGACCTTTAAATCTTGCAAAACTAGAAGAAAATAGAAAAGCATCATAAGTTGTGAAAGGTGAGCCAAAAATCAAGCCTGAGAGATGACCCAACATGAAGCCTTGTTCTGACTGTTTGTTAGAAAGGATTGACAGAAGCTGGTATATTCATAACACGTGTGAAGGATGTAGCTCTGAAAGAGAAGAGAGATGGGCAGAGAGAAGCTAAAAGTACCAGGATAGTAAGAAAGCTTACACTACAGTAAAGCAGCTGCTCTCCTGGGAACCTGCAAAGAAGATGCAAAAAATGTGCTGCGGTTATGTATGAGATAAAGCAGAAGAAACTGAGGTTAAAAAAATACCCCTTTGGTTTTTTGTTTTTGGATCATGCTGTCTAGCTCTTCTGTGTTTTCTCTGATGAGCTGCTAAACCAGATTGTTGCTGCTAAAGAAAACAGCTAAGTGCCAGGCTACCACTGGGCAACATACAAAACTCCTCTGTGGTTATGCTGTCGTCATCAAGTTTTCTTTCTGTAACCATGACATCTCTCTTGTTCATACACTTGTTATCATGCTAGCAGCTCTTAGTCCCAATAGTAAGAAACATACAGTGTTGACAGTTGAATCTGTGCAAGCTCTAAGATTTTTTAAGTGGAATGTAGTGATTCTGAGTGCCTCTGCTTTGGTGTGCCTCTATTTTGTATGTCCACCTTGGGATGTCTTTGAAGATTTTTATTTCCTGGTAGCGTTCAGGAAAAACAGTGTGGACTTTATTTAGATGGCCACCCATACTGACATTTAGAGCTATCTGAGATGCCTTAAGGTATCTGAGATAACCCCCTATAGCACAGGACCCGCAGGAGATCTGTGATGGTGTCTACAAATGATGGTCTAGGGTGTCTCCAGGGCATTGGATGCCCAGGTTTCCCATGTATGGGAGCAAAATCAAGATTTCCCCCAAACAATTTGTAGTTCTTGAAAACCTTGGATCTAGCACTTCAGCTTAAGCGACTGAGGTATCCAAGTTCTTTGTACAAGAATTCTATCTAGTGAAAGCTATCTGGTAGATTCTTACCTTGCACTTATGAGCAAAGAGTTCCTAACATCTTACTCTTTCTTAGAAACACTGCTGTATAAATCTCATAGAACTAAATCACCAGATTAAGTCATTAACTAGCTCATCTGGTTACTGCAATTATAAAACAGGCCTCTCAGGTCTCACTCACAGTACGTAAAGACTTGCAGCTGGCTTCCACCTCAAATTCCCTTCCAGGAAGACTGACATGTCACATGTTTGTGGCCCTTCTTTTACTCCATGATCCTATTTGCCAAGCAGAATAATCTGTGGTAAAAATGCCTCAGACGCAATCCTATGTCAGGAAACTCAGAGCATACAGTCTCTTGTGTTGGGAAAGAATATACCTGAGAGAACTTGTGAAGTCAAAACAAGGTGCTCCATGCAGAGTGAAGAATGGGACCAACAGGATTTTTGAACAGAGCATTCTGGGTTGCATTTCATACCCTCCTCCCTCAGCGATCAAAGCAGGATAGGGAATGGGTATTTACAAATGGACTTGGGGTTTCTAAAAGGATAAAACCATCAAAGTGGTAATTCCCCAGAAATATTTTTAGTCATGTTGAACTGGAACATTTTGTTTCTACAATTTCAAACAGTTTTATTCTGCTTTCAACTTTTTCAACCCCTCTTTTTAGTACAGGGTATTACTTTTCAGAAACAAGGAAGCATTTCAAGCCAGCAATAAAATCTCATTTGGAAAATGTCAAAGTAGGATATTTCAGCATCCCCCACCCTCAATCCCCCAAATGACTCAAACTGGAAGATCATTCAAAAAGGCATACATGGTAGACAAGCTGTCAGTTTCTGAAGAAAAGACGCATTGTGGGAAAGCTCTTAGGCAGCCCATAAAAATGAGTATGCAAGGTGCAAGGCAGCAGAGGGTCCTGTCCCCAGCTAATTGTGGCCTATGAGGTTTCTGTGGTAACTTGAAATGATAAGGGATGCATACACACAGTCAGTTGGAAGCTGACTACACTGAAGAAATATGACTGAAGTCACCACAGATATACTGATGTGATAGTAGCATTTTGCCCAATGTGCTTGAGAAACCAAGAATAAAGAGTAGTTTCAGAGAACAGTTTTGTGCAAGAACTGCACGACTTGAAACACTCTGGACTTTGTCTTCCTAGAAACTGTATGTCTTAAGTTCCCATTTCAATCAACTGCTTCCAGAAATGGATTTTGGTCAGATTTTGTCTTCTCTCTGACACAGACAACCTCTGTGGCCTTGGACAAGTCACTTCAGCCTCCTCAGTCTTCATCTTTCAAAAACTAATACTATAATCTACTTCACCACTGTTATGGCAATGAATTAGTTGATGCTTCAAAAGTGCTTCTAAGTAACACTTTGTTAGAATGCATATGTATTGTGTAAGCACTGCCCTCTACCGAGTATTAGCAGAGCCGATGAATTATGAGTAGCAAGTTTTAAAATGTTAATGACTGCCAGATTTTTACTTAATTCTGGAGGCAGAGGCTTTTAATGTGGAATAAGAAAACATAATCTCTGTCCTAACTGCTTTTGTCAAATTTCAAGAGGTAGGTTCCAGTAAGTACCACAGTGAAAATCAGGAAGTTGCTGTGCTATAATACAAAAGACACACAAAAGAGGAAAGCACAAGTCAGATAATCAGATACCTGATTGATATGAACTGTTGCTATGTACGCTG